GAGAGTTAATGCATCATATCTGAAAAGTATCTTTTTCTAGTATTTTAAATTGTATCCTATTTAACATTTCCATACTTGGTGACATCTTATTAGCCACTCCTCCATGTGTTCATATACTAAAAGACATTGCCAGAACTGTATATAATACTTAGGATGAAGAGGCAATGCAGATCAGTGAACTTATCACATTGATAGATATAATCTGAAAACAGTGCACTATGTGAAGGAAAAGAGAAATGTTCCACCAAGGAAGTGTGGGGTAGAGAAACAGAGAGACAGAGAGAGTCCTTAGCTATAACACATAACTGTTTATATTCAAAATATATTCATCTCATCATGGGTTATATTGTTAATATTCAAAATAAACACATACTGTTTACAGTCAAAATAAAGACATAACTAATGTCTTGATATCCATGATTTTTCAAAAAAAATGAAATCTCATTTCTCACAAGAAACAAAAGGAATAATGTGGCTGTGTCACCTGCTACTAACATAAAAGAATTAGGGATTGTATAGACATGAATACACATACAGATATAATTGTGTTTTTAGAAAGAACAGAAACTGCAGTAATAGCAAAATTTATCTAACCAAGAAAGAGAAATAGAATTAATACAATTTTATTCCAGGAAAAATAGATTAGGCTTAATATTTTTTTAAATGTTGAAGAAAATAAAAAGATTCTATTATGAAGCCAGGCTCTAACCTCAACTCTGCCACACTGTTCATTTCAATGATCCTTCAGTTTTCCTTGAAATTTTCCACATACAGTGATGTCCCACCACTTCTTACTCAAAACACTCTGTCAAGTGTCTTCCCACACTGCCTTTTAAGAGAACTAATACTATCAGTTTCATCTGATTTAGATATTTATTTCATATTTGCCAGAAGATTCTGGCCAATGTTTTTGAAAGCACATTTAACTATACCATATGCCTCCTTAAATCATCTCTATCAAACTGCAGGATAAGGCTCTGGTTCATTCTGTTCTGTTTTTCTTTCTTCACAATGTGTTTATGTATATTTACCCAATTTGTTCTGGTCTTCTTGCCAAATTACAGGTTTGAGATCTCAACTATTGCAGAACAGCTGTGCTATTGTTGATGTCTCACAAAACAAGGGTCAGAGAATAAGCCCATCTTGCAAGTACTTGTAATACTTGCACATTAAACTGTGAGGTTAGTGCCCTGGATTAGGGAACATTCAAGAAATGTCAGACAATTCATCCTATTCAAACTTAAGACAATTTGGCACAAAGGAACTACTTTTAGAAATAAATTCCTAAATAATCTGCAGATTGTTCTTGATAAAACAGTTTGTTTAATCATATACCATTTTAAAAGTAAGCTGTATTCAATGAAAGAAATAGAAAACAACAACCTCACTGCTATGACCATTCTTTCTGTTTAAATACTAAGAGTTTGTACATCTTAGCTGAAATATCTATATCTAATAAAGAAATTTAATAAATATAGATCTCTGTATTTATCAAACAGATATATCAAAAAAAGTTATTCAAAGACCCATCTGAACAATGGTATACCTGGATAGGATTTGCTCAGATAACTTTAACTTTTGTTACTGCATAACATCAAGTTCCAAATGATGAACTATGTCCTAGCTACTAGGCTACATTCTTAGTCCCCCATCTCCCATATGCTCTTTTAAACCAAAATCCACTAGCCCTACGCTTTTAAAAGAATAATCCTCAAACAAAGTGCAATTCATGAAATAGCATAAAGATAAGAAAAGAACTGATAGAGCAGGCTAATGAGATGAGGCACATGCCCATGGATCCAGCTCTGAGACTGTGCATCTGGCTTTGAGGCTGTCTGTCTAGGGTTACTTCACCAGCATCTTGTTAATTATTTAAGTGAGAGAACAAGGGGAACTATCACCACATCTGTCACCCTCACACAGGAAAAACCTTCATTCATTGTTGGGCCAGATGTGTTTATTTGAAACATAGACTAACTAGCTACTTAATGGGTTTGAATCCTTAGCCAAAAGCTAATTAGGCAAACATATTAAGCATCAGTCACCTTACAAGGCTAAACTGTTTCAATTGTGTTGATTTCAATCCAATCTCATAAGAGAGCTCATCACCTATAAAAGTATCTGAAGAAAATTCAAGGCAAAGGAAAGGTCCAAATTACTTGCAACATACTAAGTAAAATAAATAATGATGTCCCCAAATACTCAGTACATTAACAAAATCTAAAGCTTTGCTTCAATAGTATCATATACTTGATCTAGGAAAGGAAGGCAAAAGTAATTCTTTTAGACAGATCTCTGTCCCAAAACATTCTCAGTTTGCTTGTAGGTGAAATATTAATGTCAAAATCTAAATGAATGATGATTTCTCATGTCTGATATTTATTATGCTATGTGTGATTTAAAAATGTATCTCCTGGGTATTTAACCTATCTACAAATAACTAAAGTGTATCACTAGCCTGGATGGTATTCTCTTCAAAAGAAGACTGTGCCCAAAGGCAAATTCTACAGAAAACAAAATCAGTGCCTGGGATGAAACAGGCATAATGCATTTTACAACTACTTCAGAGAAGAAAGTAAGTTACCTTCCTTAACTAGTCTCTATTATTAAAAAGCCAATATTTTTCTTTGCTACTTTAAATAGTATGGCACCCCAAAATAAAATTCTGACCATTTTCCTCCATCCTAGTACAGGTACCTGATCTCAGCAATCAAATTACCTCTTTCAGATCTTTATGTTAACTGGTAAACAAAAATATTTGAGAAAAATTCATTCATCCTTTTATCCACCAAATATTTAGTAAATCTACTATGAGTCAGGCCTTGTGTTAAGTGCTAGTAATACAATGAGAAACAAGATAAAACTTATCCTAGCAGGAAATAGAAATGCAATAACAGACAAACAATTGGCTCTGGAGTAAAAATAAAACGTGGAAAAGGTATAGAGGTCATAGACCCAAAAGAGGAAGACTGCATGATTAAATAGGGTGATCAAAAAAGGGTTTACTGTGAAGGTGACATTTGAACTAGACTTAAAGAAAGAATTTAAGCACTCCGTTGACATACAGTGTTGGTAAATCATAAGTTCGGATTTTTTTTTACTTAGACTACCTTCACATACAGTTCTAGACCAGGGAAAGAGCAACCCAAGCAGAGGCAACAAGAAGTATAAAAGTACAGGAGCAGGAGTGCGCAGGTATGGTCAAGAACAGCAAAGAGACCAGTGTGACCATAACTGAGTAGAAAGAGCAAATAGAAGATGAAGTCTGAGAGGGAGTGAGAGGCCAGACCCTACAGAACCTGGTATAGTATTACACTGATTAGGCTTTCACTCGGAGTGGGGCAAAGACCTCATCACGGAGAATCTTAAGTGAAGAGATGAATAAACTGATTGATTTTCACAAGATCACTCTTGTGAAGAATGGAAACAGAGGGACAAGTTGAGAGATTCATAATCCAAGCAAGAGATGACAGTAGCTTGGTCTAGAATGGTAGCCGTAGAGATAGAAAACAGAAGTTGGATTTTGGATAAATTTTAAAATTGGAGCTGAGAAGATTTGTTGATAGACTAGGTCTAAGAGACAAAGAAATCAATAATGACTCAAAAGTTTTTAACCTGAACAACAAAAATGATGGAGCTGCCAATGACTAAAATGGAAAACACAGCTTCGGAGGCAGATTGGGGAAATACTCAGGAAGAGCAACCTGAAATTACAGATTCAACCAAACAAAACTAAACTTCAAGTCAATAGATGTATCATGGCTAATTCAGACATGATTACTCAGAAAGCCATTGAGTCCTATGGTATGGTTGGGGTTAAGATGGCTCCACAAGAAACTGACTTGCCTCAAATTCCAATACCAATTTAATTTAGCCATAGGCATGTTGTCAATAATATAGATTATTATGTAATACAGAAAATGAAAGATACTCTTAGTTTTGTAAGCTATCCTGTGCAGCATCTTTCAATCTATTTAAAATAGAAAAGTTGATACTGTTCCAATTTACTTGCATAACCAAAGGTGACGTGCAATAGATATCTTGAATATTTAAGTATCCACAAAAGATGAATGTTCAAGTCAGCTTAAAAATGCTAGAATGATTTTCTTAGTTTCCACAGAAGAAAATATAATCTTTAGTCTCTAACTACTAATCCAGATTTTGGATTGTGGCCTTGTATATGTAATTTTTCCCTGCTTTCATTATAAGATCTATATAAAGAGAGCCTAGAAAACTGTATCCCATTAACTATCTTAAACATGCTCTACTGCTGGGCTAAAGAATATCTGAACTATTTGTAATCATTTGCTTCAACATAGAACTCAAAAAAAATCACAAATGGGAATACTAAATTACCAGTAGAATTATTTGTATATAAACAATTCAAATAAGACTCCTTCATCCAAACTAAATATATTTTTCTTTTTAACAGCTATTGTGATTTTTTTGGCCACATGAAAGGAGATAAGAATATAGACCCTAACAGAAATGGGACATAAATTAAAGCACAAGTTAATACAAATGTACAAGTATTTCCTAGTCCAAGGTGTGCCTTTTTTAAGTCATATTCTTACTTATCTTTAATCGCAGTATTTATTAAATACTATAATAATTATTGAAAATCTCACTTTTGAACTGTGTGTGTGCACATGCATGTTTGTGTGTGCATGTGTGTGTGTTTAAAATAATGTTTATGGTTCTGATTATTTACAGGTTCTAATAAGAGTTCTCAAACCCATCCAGATAAATATTTATAGAGCCTTTTAATCAATATTTAAGAAACTAGATAAAACACATTTTAGCATTTTCAACCTACTAAGAGTATAGCTGAAATACTAACTTGCTTGCCTAATACTAAGTGGCTTGCCCAGGGCTTACTGTTTAATGCTCACTCTATATATCAAAAAAAGATAGAATAAAACCACCAATGTATTTGTCACCATTTTCTAATAATTATACACTAAAAATGTTATAAAAATTGTTTTAAATTAAGTACTTACTCTCCAGCTTTATTCAGGATAGGTGCAGGACAAAGCATAGAATTAAGCTGTACACTTACTGGTTTTACACCTAGAAAATAAAATGCCACTGAATTAATAAAGGGTTTTATGCATCTCATACAGTTTCATTAATAATATGAACAGCATGTTTCAATCAGAGTTCAAATGTGGAATACTGGGTATATTAACATAAAAAAACTAAAGAAAGAGAAGAAAAAGGGAATGAAAAATGGAAAGAGATTATATGCTCCATTGACATACAATGTTGGTAAATCATAAGTTAGGATTATTTTGATGTAGACTAAGTTCATATACCATTCTAGAGTCTATAAAATATATTTTTCTCTTAAATGTTTTAAATATCTCAGATTTTTATAAATAAATGCTCTATATTCCTTAAAAACACACTTAAGATGAAGGAAGATGCAAGTTATATGTCCAAAGGAAAATAAACTTATTTCATGAGTTTAATAAAACATTTGTGTTTACAGTAAATAAATGCATTTTATGAAGTTGCATACTTAAATTGCCCTTGCAACTTTAATAATATATAAGAAAAATAATTTAGGCTAGAAATATTCAGAAAAGTTACTTAGTCAAATTGATCATTCTAGAATGTAAAAGAGAAAAATACCAATTTCATTTATTTGAGAGTTTAATAAACGTAATCTTATGAAGCTAAACATGAAATACATTTATTTTATAATGAACTCAAATATGTAATCAGAAAAAGCTAGGCAAAGCTAATGCTTAGATACAAATTACTACTAAATAAAAATAAAATTATCCTGTCCTACTCAATTGTGGAACCTATTATGAAGAGATTTTGTAAATTTTTGCCTTACTAAAATTGTGATCTTAATAGAAAAGAGAGGAATGAATTATGACATTTACCATGCTGAGATCCCCACCACTTTAATTCAATTAACACCTATTGAATAGTTACTTTGTATATGGCCAAAGCTGTGCTACTTGGAGTGTTTACACTCAGATAAACAGCAAAATAGCAGATGAATCTAAAAAAATAACTGTACCAGAGTTTACAAAGTTATAGATTCTTTCTTACAATATAAATTTTGAAGGGCAATATAATCATCAGTAAAGAAAAACATTTATATAGATACTCAAAATGCTCAGAAAACTAAGATCTATTTAAGAAGGAGGTTTTTCAGAATGAAAATAAAAACGTACTCTTTGGTTTTTGAGAAGTCAAGCATAGTGAAAATTAAAACTCAATTCCATAAATATGAAAATTATCAACGAACACTATGCTGGGTGAGAATTTGAGATGAAATAATCTATAAGGCAATACAAGACAAAGACTATCTTCAATAAACTAATAAATTGTTGGGAAATTAGATAAAGAAAACAAGTGACAAAAAATAAAGCAATGGGTAGGAGAAAAGCTGGAGATGATTAGATTTTAAGGTAAGTGTGACAAGAAATAAGCCTAGGGAAAGAAGCAATTAAATCATGTGGTTGGTGCAGTAGGTACAGAGTACAGTCAGGGAAAGTGGGTTCAAATAACAGCTCTGTCCCTTATTAGTTGTTTCACCATACGCAAGTAATTTTATTCTTTCAGCCAACATCTGTTCAAGGAGGGTAGTTAGGACAGGGTCCAGCATTTATTAAGTTCTAAACAAATATTGCTATTATTAAATAACTAATAAATAATTATCACTACTATTTGTATTATTCAGACTTCATTTCTTTCTTCTTTGATTAAAAAATATGTCACAGTTGGTTATAGTTGGAGAAAAAAAAGAAAACACTTGTTGCTGATATGCTGTGCAGAGATTAAGGCAACACGAGATTACTGGGGACCTACTCTTTGTATATGTTTCATTTACAGTGTAGGTGCAGAGGACACTGCCATTCCGACTCCCCAACATGAATCCTCTTCCACTCAAGACAATCTGAAATTCTTCTAGAAGTAAAAGAAAAAATAAACATTTTAATCACTGCTTTACCAAAAAAAGACAAGCTGAAATGAAAGTATTAAGGTACATAGAATAACTCTTCATACTATTCAGTTAACTAATAGCAATGAAGACATAGCTCTATATTTCCAACTGGGCTGGCTTTCTTAGACCCTCTAGGTAAATGTAGTGAAGGTATCATTCACTGCCATATGGGGATGCATTATTTTATTTTCTAAACAAAGTGTTTCTCAGCAGTGACCAAAGTATTAGAATGGAAGCATTAACAGTCATTCCCAGACAGATACTACACAAATCTCCTCAATTTCTATCCTTAGGAAAATATCAGAAAAAAAACTTTGTTTTTCCCTGCTCTCAGGTATTAAGGTTTGGGAATGTAAATAAAACTAATTAATTACGTATGTTCTTTAGTTTTTAGAAAAGACGTATATAGTACTTTCTTTAATCTATGCCTGTCCCATACAGAATTCTTCTTGAACTACTTCCTCAGTTTACTAATCCTGATTCATTTCCTATTTCAAACCTATAAATCATCAAAAGATCATGTATTTTGGATTACTAATAATTGATGGACATCACAAAAGTTAATTTAACCTACTGTGCCATTATTTATAGTAGAAGCAAGCACTAAAAAACATTAGAAGGTGACAGAATAGGCTGGAAGGAAAGTTAACTGATCAAATATCTTGACAGACAATGAATGTTTACTGCTAACCTGCAAGACAGTATATTAACTGTTTTAATAGTGATTAACTCTTGTTTAAAAGGTCAATTGAAGGGCGGGCGCGGTGGCTCAAGCCTGTAATCCCAGCACTTTGGGAGGCTGAGGCGGGTGGATCACGAGGTCAAGAGATCGAGACCATCCTGGTCAACATGGTGAAACCCCGTCTCTACTAAAAATACAAAAACATTAGCTGGGCATGGTGGCACGTGCCTGTAATCCCAGCTACTCAGGAGGCTGAGGCAGGAGAATTGCCTGAACCCAGGAGGCGGAGGTTGCGGTGAGCCGAGATCACGCCATTGCACTCCAGCCTGGGTAACAAGAGTGAAACTCCATCAAAAAAAAAAAAAAAAAAAGGTCAATTGAAGCACAAATAAAATTTTAAATAGTTTATTTGAGCAGATGATTCTTGAACTAGACAGATCCAAATCACAATTGGTTTGGTAGCTCTACCAAGAGAATGCAAGGGGGAGGCTTTTACAGTACCAACACGGAAGTAAAGCAAAGAAAATACTTGACAAGTTACAGTCAGACAGTTGCCTTATTTGGTCTATCCCAGTAGAAAGTCCCTGGTTATATGTTTGTTGATTGTTTTTGACTGGTTGCATTTAAATTCTATTTTTCCTAATATAAGCATTTATAAGAAATAGTTCAAATATAGTTTCAATTATATTTGTAAATCAAGTAAGGTTAAGCTTACTTAGGAGGCCGAAGTGTTTTTTCCTGCTTGGGACTTCTTCAGGCCTGTTCTCCATTTTAATGTAACATTACTAATCCTACAAAACTTCTCATATCTAACATAATACAACAGGTATAATATACTCATTAACTATGCAAGAAACTACTGCCAACCCACTTTTCATTTGGTGTGTTATGAAAGGAATTTTACTTGCAAGCTAAAATAAGGTGCAGGTAAAACTTAAAATGTGATTCAGTAAGAGTATGGGCATTAAAGTCAGACAAATAAGGATCAAACAAGATAATTATTAGCAGCAAGTACTGAACGTGTGTCTGCCTCAGCTTCCCCATCTGTAAATCAGGGATGTATAAAACTTTCATATAGTGTTGTTATAAAGATTAGGTAAAATTATAAATGCAAAGAACCCAGTATATACTCAGCACAAAACAGAAGTTTAATAAATAATAGCTACTATTTTAATATTATTTTTCCATTGATTTTTCTTTGTTATCTCTAGAAATGTATTAACCTCTGCTTTTAGGAACGATAATCCTACCCTGGGATGGTCAGATGCACTACTTCCCTTAAATATCTCCACACTCATTCATTAGGGAATCTAGAAGATGCAGAGTGTGCAACCATACACAACAGGCTGGGAGGCTCTGTGGTAAATTACACAACACATTTTCTCCCCCACCAGACCCAATATTTTTCCTTTTTAAAGTAAAGTCAGGTTAAAATGAACTGTAGGTCAGACTTGAAAAAGAAATAAAATAGGCCAGAGAGAATCACACTCTGTCTGGGCAAGGATGGCTGGGAGGTGTGAAAACCTGAGTATGTGCTTAGCACCAGCTGATGAAGCCACCTGCTTCCTTCCTTCCATCCGTCCATAAGCTGGCAGATTCTGTACTTTGGTCAGGTCATCAAAGCACAGAGCTCAAAGTCTACATATACCTGATTGTTTGCACAATCAGACAAAAGAAACAATTTCATATTTTATTTTATTTGCCATAGAAAAGGTCTCAAACGTGAACTAAATATACAGAAGATTCTAAAAGCCTGTCACACAATATGCTCATTATTTAAAATAACATTCCAATCTTAAAAATTTGAATTTAAAATAGAAATATTTCAAGGAATTATTTAAAAATTCTTACACAAAAAGATGCCAAAAAAGTTAATTTTGCTATTCTTTTTTCCAACATGAGTTTCATATCATATATTTTAGCTAGAAAAAAATACAATTTCTTATATGGTATTTTTAAATTCTAAACACTTACCCCCCACACAGACACTTGAGGGCCACAATTCTAGAATTTCAGTACATGACTGAGCTAGTATCTAAAAAGAAAAGGAAAAAAAAGATTATCAAGCTATAGATCTAAATTATAATGTGAAGTAAATTATAAGATTACTAATAACCTTGAGGTTTTCTCCATACTTCAATAGATGGCAGAGAAAATCTATTAACTCTAGCATGTACAGCTACCAAGTTCTTAGGAAACTTCTGCAGTGTATTTTAGGGTATATTTTTAGATTATGTACCGTAGGATCCTAATTTTATTAAAGTAAATTCAGAGAGGCAGAGAAAAAGTTAGTGTTGTCTCAAAGTCTGGTAGCCTTTGGTATGAACAGATAACTAAAATCTCCTGCTGCCATAAAGTCTATGTTGTCCTTCCCAATCAAGTGAAAATAAGATAACAAATCAGACCTCGTGTTTAGTACTGCTGTTATGTTTTCTATTAACAAGTTCAATATAATATCAATAAAAAAGCACTTCTGACTGGGCGCAGTGGCTCATGTCTATAATCTCAGCACTTTGGGAAGCTGAGGCAGGGGGATCACTTGCGGTCAGGAGTTTGAGGTCAGCCTGGTCAACATGGTGAAACACACCTCTACTAAAAATACAAATAAAGGGCCAGGCATGGTGGCTCGCGCCTGTAATCCCAGCTACTCATTCGGGTGAGGTAGGAGAATCGCTTGAATCCGGGAAGCAGAAGGTTGCAGTGAGCTGAGATTGCGCCACTTCACTCCAGCCTGGGTGACACAACAAGCTTCCATCTCACAAATAAATAAAAAAATAAAATAAAATCTAAAAAGCACTTCTCTTTATTGGACAGTGGAATTTCTATTCCATTTCTCAGGCTTAATTCCCTCTTATGCATAAAAAATTACAACTGCAGAACATAGACTCCTTATATGAGCCAGTATTATTCTCAAAAACACAGACTGTTCTCAAGCATTCCTATTCAAGGCACAAGGCTACAAATGGAAAACAATGATGAAATAAGCTGCTCCTAATGGACAATAATCCTGTCTTTATTTTTAGAACTGCTCTGCACTATATTATCAAAGTCAGACAAATTCCAGATGATCTCTGGAATTGCTTTCTTGACATTCCTTTCTTGATGCAAGTTGAAGACAGATGCTGTACGGCAGTTTCTAGCATCTCAGCATCTCCTGTTCATAACTAGAACAGTAAGGAAGGATTGTAGCAGGAAATAGACACGCTTTTTGTGCTTTCTTTAATAACAGCGAAAATATAAGTTCTCAGCCCCTAAAATCAACTGTGTCAGATCATGGAACTTTGTTGCTGAATATACCTCTCTGAAAAGAGGGAATCATTTGTACTTTTTAAGATGATTTTCCAAGAAACTCAACTTTTCACACAGTGATTGAGATTTTGTGATTAGGAAACAAACCTGATAAAATTTTATATCTGAGAAACTACAGATGAGTTCTATTCAAATCCAGAAAGGACCAAAGAGATTCCATAGGCACTCAAAGACCTTTCTGTACCCAAATACCTCCTCCTGGTCTGCTACTTTATCTGCAATAACTAACATTCATTCCTATGGATTCAAGAATTAAGAATCCTTGTTAAAGGTTAATGTGTCCCCTTAGAAGGATGGTAACTCAAATCACTAACACCTTTAAAAATTTGGACATAATTCAGATTACAAGACTCTGAAGGAAATATAATAGAAAATTTTTGCAAAGGAATATGGAGCTAAAAACGTTCCAACTAACAAAAATGGGCATTATAGCTGTAGCCTTGGCCAATCTGAGATAACAGCGACAACAGTGAAACATCAAAATGAAAGGTCAAAGGAAAACACAAAACTCCCAAATCTATTTTGTCTGCTATCAGCCCTGAAAGAATTTATCTTAAATCATATCTTATTAAGGAGACTAATTGCATCATTCAGTTTACAATCTCTTTATTAGATATTTAGCCATAGCTTTATCAACATTATTGAAAAAATATTTCAAGTACCCAGGAAAATTATGAGATATTTAAAGATTACATCCACTGGCAATAGAAACCATTATTCTACAATTGCTTAGAATAAAGTAAATCAAAAAATTACAAAAGGATTTTCTAAAGATCATGTTCAAAAAATGTGCAACCAGAATGACCTCAGTGAATTGGTTACAATACATTTTTCTCTCTTCTACCAGTACTGACCATAACTCAATCAGATTTTACAATATTTAAGATAATTGTGCAAATGTTGACTTGATCTTTTAATTTGATCCAATGCATCAAAACATTTCTAAATAAATAAGAGTTCCAATAGCAAGATCAAATGAGCAATTCTCCTAAGGAGATCTCCTTAAAGCTGAAGAATAAACACCTTCAATGACTGTTGACAATCTACATCTTTGAAGCCAGGCCCTGTATATCCCCTATGCGGTATTTTAAAGAAGAGGTTCAGGGTGATTCAGCAATTTATGTTATATTAAAGTCTGATATTAATGAAATCAAGTTAAATTAAGCAGAGTTTAAGGATTGCTAATGTTGGATATGTCCTGCAGTAAACAGTATAACACCTATTTGTTAATAATACATTTACATTAGTTTAATATTCATAATTATTTTAATAAAATAAGTTTTTCTAAAAATAAAATAATTGAATGGAAAAATGACTCAGGTAACACATTCATTGAAAAGCATGCAGTCAGAGCACAAGTCATAACATTGGTATCACTATCTAACATCATCTAATTGAGTTTCCATGGTATGTGCTCCTCTCTAAAGTTTGTTTTATTAAAAAAAAATATCTTGGGACTTTAAATTATATTATTTGAGTGTATAACTCACCTCTTCTACTAGAAAAAAACTTTTTGAGGAAAGAAATGAGATTGCATTATACTATACAGCACATTCAGGGCTTCACACATTGTTCTATGCCTGGAGTACAACCAATAAATGCTTAAATAATAAATATTGAATACATAAATTAAAAAGGATATTAAAAATGTTTTATTAACAAACCAAGTCATATCAGGACACAGATGAGTCAGGTTAAAATTAATTTATATGAAAAAGCATCTAGTTCTTCCATAAATAATGAATGTTGGAAAACCAGAAATCTATAATTTGAAACAAACTTCACCAAAACCATTTCCAAATGAAAAATAGAAGGAAAAGGGTAAGAAAAGCGTTTATGCATTTTTAGAAAATAAAACTTGCTCTAAATTTGTTTTTTTATCTAGAGTTTATCATGTTTCAATATTAAGAAAGCAACAACTAGAGATAAAAATAATTTAATGTTTGAATACAAATAGTTTACACCATAAATTTTTTGAACAGTTTTACAAAAACAAAATAGTTAATAGTCTATTCTCACCAAGTAATATACAAGTTGAAATTGTTCATGATATCAAAATGGATAAACAGATATTTCTCAAAAGAATACATACGAGTAGCCAACAAGCATATGAAAAATGCACAACATTGCTAATCATTAGAGAAATGCAAATTAAAACCACAATGAGATACCATCTCACACGAATCAGAATGGCTATTATTAAAAAGTCAAAAAACAACAAATGCTGGTGAGGTTGTGGAAAGAAGGGAATGTTTATACACTGCTAGTGGTAATATTAGTTTAGCCATTGTGGAAAGCAGTTTGGAGAGTTCTCCAAGAACACAGAACTCTCATTTGACCCACCGATCTCATTACTGGATACATATCCAAAAGAAATTATTCTGCCAAAAAGACACATGCACTCGCATGTTCATCGCAGTACTGTTCACAATAGCAAAGCCATGGAATCAATCTAGGTGCCCATCAACAGTGGACTGGATGAAGAAAATGTGGCACATAGAAACCATGAAACAAAACACAGCCATAAAAAAGAATAAAATCATGTCCTTTGAGGCAACATGGATGCAGCTGGAGACCATTATCCTAAGTGAATTAATGCAAGAAAATAAAACCAAAGACTGCATGGTCTCACTTATAAGTGAGAGCTAAATATTGGGTACTCATGGACATAAAGATGGGAACAGCAGACACTGGGGACTACTAGATGGGAGGAGAAGGAAGGGAGATGAAGATTAAGAAACTAGCTGTTGGGTACTATGTTCAGTACCTGGGTGATAAGATCAATTGAACTCAAAACCTCAGTATCATGCAATACACCTAGGTAACAAAACTGCACAACCTGCATATGTACCTCCCAAATCTAAAATAAAAATCAAAAGGAAAGAAAAAACAGAATAAAGCAAAATTAATCTATTATATTAAAACTGTCATCTCCAAACAACTGACAAAGAGGACAAACATTCTAAACACTCTGGTTAATTTTTGCCAAATTAAATAATATTAGTGAGTGACTGAACATTCAATCAGGTGTCCCATCCACAATAACTGATGAATTATTTTTAATATTTTGCACCTCCATCATTTGTACAATAAAGAAAATTGTGAGTAATTTTCCTCTAATATGTGCTGTCACCTGTCTTTATTATGTCTCAATAGTAAAAGAAAATAGTTTCTACTAAATATCAGTCTTAGTTGACATTGGAGAGAGCTAACAGCATCATAGACCAATAGATCAAATTTAAAGATAAGCCAGATGCTATTAATAAAACTAGAGTAGTTTAAGTCATGTACCACTAAATGCAAAATTTCATCATTTGAGATCTTGGGGGCTATATATCCATGCATACACACACACACACACACACACACACACACACACACACGCACGCACGCAAAGAATTTGATATCACCAAGAAAAAATATACTATTGAAGCATCTGTTCACCCAAAAAGTAATATTAGTATTAAGGAGTACTTATAAATAAAAAAATTACATACCTTATTACCTAATCCCTAGTTTTAAGTCCTCAAACATGAACTTAGATGACAGAAAGTCAAATTTTCTAAATTAATTAAGTATAAATATCAGTAGTCCAAAATTCAAAAGAAATTCTAACATAACAGTTAACCACTCATTGGGCACTTATGTTCCAGCAACTATGCAAAGTGCTATATATGAATTTTATCAGTTAATCCTCATAAGTCTAATAAATAAATATTTTTTATC